CTGCGATAATACGTTTAAACACTGTCAGGTTTCAGTTCAGAGTCTACAAAATGGCCCTTTTAAATTATTATAAAAGTACTCTGAGTAAGAAAGGTAAATTTACCTATATTCATCTTCATCCATAATAGTAAATTAGTGAACTGCAGTTAGGTTTGTAAAGGTCAAGGAAGGACAACGATCTTCAGAATTGTGAAAAATCGATAGAATACAGACAGCGGCTCTTTTGCTTTCGACGGCGGAAGGAGACCAACGGAAGCACGAGCGCCGCATCACAGCCATCTGGTTGCTGTTTCTTCGGCGTAATTTGTATTTTTACGCTGAAAGAAAAATCCCGGAAGTAAATACTTGCCAGTGTTCGTGAGAATTTGGAATCGAAACTTTTTTACTTGCCCGTTTTACGCCCTTCAAAACTTGCTACAGCTGTAAGGTAAACGTATGTAAAAATAAGCTAACTTTAATTTGCGATTCGTATCTCCAATTAAAGCATTTATAATGAATAAACGGATGAATAACTCGTCAATCATCCGCAGATTCAATGTTTCTCTGTCATGTAACCGTAAGAATAAACTTGATTAAGTTGTCGTTTTTTTTTGCGTTTAATAGAACAATAATTTTATATGAATAAGATATTTTCATAACGATGAAATTGTGACACATTTGAGATATTTATAGCAGTTATTTTCAAATACTTTTGATAATATATTATTATTATTACTATTATTAAATTTACATACCCTTTGAGTAATAAATATACTTTGCGTAATAAATAAAAAATGTGTATAAAAACAATGTAAGGATATAAAATATCTGCAGCAAAGAATATATGCAGTGTCTCACGAAAGACGTTTTATCTCCCAACATTATGACACAAATTTTAAATGACTGAAACTGATAATGTAAAATGGAACTTTAATAAAAATGCAAGTTTACTTATTTCAGTAAAATGTAATTTATATATACTGAATATCCTCCCCCCCCCCAAATATATTAATTTCTTCTCTTTTTAAGACGAAAAAGTATGCCACAAAAGGGACCGGAAACTATCCACCAAAGAAAAATAAAAAAAATCTGATGTATGCACATGACTTCCCTGTACGTAATATTAAATTACACGCATTTTTTCCTGCATTTCATTTAAACTATTTCCTAGAATTTCATTAGAGATAGATTTCTCATTCAATTAATTCAGGTCTCACTTCGCGACAAGGCAAAAATACTTAGAAACCTAAAATTACTTTTATTAAAAATTGAAAAATATAGAAAAATATAAAACATAAAAACAGTCGAAACAATTTAAAGAACAACTTTGACAATCAAAATTGGAGTTTCTACTCAAAAACAAGCAATTCAGCCAGCGGGAAAGAAGGCAGATTTGTCGGTGCACAAAACTGATTGTTTACGTTTGGTCACACTCGGTAAAAAGATACTGAAAGCGTAGATCGATATGCTAAGTCAATATATGAGATAATTTAATAACTTAAATGTTAATTTCAGAATGGATTAAGCATGTTTAATGCGCAATAATAAAAGAAAACGTTATCTTTGTTGTTGCGAAGCTTAGTTTCTCTAGATTGGCAACAAATCCACTATTCTGCTAAGTTTAAAATGTAAACAAATATAGCTGCTTTGGTAAACAAAAATTAGACTTACCCGCACTTAACTTTTAAATTGTTGATAATTGTACAATTATTGCATGTAGGTTAACTAAAGATATAAAACCTTACTACATATTATAATAGTCCTATATACAAAATTTTAACGTTCTGAGGCTACTCGTTTTTGAGTTATGCAAGATACACACAAACGTACATGTACAGACGTCACGAACAAAATCTCTTTTGAATCGATTTTAAATAAGTTTTATAATTCATTTGGAGAAAAAAGTCGTTTATTCTGTCCTTACGCACAGATGTCAAGCAAAAACATCGTTAAATTGCATTCGACAGCGGTCAAAATAGGTATTTCCGTTGAAATGTGGTACCCGGAATTTTTCGTGATTACAATACTTTCTTTACTTTGTACAAGGAGGTAAAAAAGGTGTTAAAAATGTTAACGTTATGTTAAATTGTTGGCTTTCAAAGATGTGTTTTTTAGCATCCATTCAGTTTTCTGCAATTTACATCATAATTTTCCCAAGCATCCTTATTACTAATTTTTATTTAAAACAAATGTTTTGTTTCAGAAATTTATGTTTCATATTATACCAGATATGTTTGATAGGGTTTGAATCTGGACACTGAGGTGTTGTTTCAAGTATTTCAAGGATACGAAACAATATGCAGGATCGGAATTACTTTGAAGGTTAAGTTTTCATGCTAATGGTTTAAAATTTTATTTTAAAATATAAGAGAAGTCTTAATACCTTTCAGTATCAATAAAGAAACATGAAGTAACATTCATCCGTTTATAGTAATTTCTATTCAATCATTTTCTTTGCTGTTGAAACTAACTTCAGTTTTAGAAATTCTTCTTTAAAATTGAAATTGTTTTGCCCTAAAAACTGACTTTTCTAATAAAAGGCATTATATTAACATCTCTAATTACTTGATTTGTTTGATTATTCAGAATTCTTATTTCTCATAGATTTGAGAAAGGAAATTGAGGTTTTCCATTCTTTCTGACTTATGTTCTCAGTGTATTGGATGAGTATTTTAAAAGCTGTAAACTGGCGAATATTCTATATGCTATAAATAATTCTGCTTAGGGTCTTGAAAGTCTTCATCTAAATTATTTCAGTTATTTTGTATCATATTTTCTTTGTTATCTGCAGGACGTCATTAATTGTCTTCTATGTCTCCTTTTTTGAATTCTATCCTGCTTTGATTAATTATGTCAAAAACAATAAAATGCTTCAAAATTAACTGTTTTAACGACCTTCTAATACATTTCGCTGTTTTTAGTTGAAATTAAAAATGAATTAACGAATTTTCAGTCTCATATGCTCTCTTGGGTAAGTCATGAAAGTAAAAATATTGGAATAATAAGAAATCTTTGTTTAAGAATTCAAGGAGACTATTTTTAGATATTTTCTGTTGCTTCGATACATGTTAGATTATTCGATACAAAACAAATTATCTTATATAGGGCTTCATTTAGAACAAAAAACGTCGAACGAAAGTTGAGGCGAAATAGTTGCAGGAGCTACATAGCTAAAAGTTCTGTGTATATAATCTAAGAACAGAATTATTAGCATTTTTTTTTGAAGCTTCAAAAGTAGCATATTTATGATTTCTTTTGTTAAAATAATTAATTATTAGTAAATGTATCGCGATACTATGTATTTCAATCATGTCTAGATTTTTGTTTATTGTTATGGCCAGATATAATCTTTCATTTACTGCAGATGAAAGAGGAAAGCACAACGATCTTTAATTAGCTTTGTGAAATTAGAAAAAACTATTTTCTCTTGCATTATTTTTTATTTCAAATACTAATTTTTTAACATTTTTTAAACATTCAACAGCTGCCATCCTCTGTCAAAATCTTCATAATTGTTTCTTTCAGTGTAGCATTTGGAAAACTTAAGTGATATTATACTACAAGGTATCCGCACTCATAAGGCTTCAGCATCGCTAATTGTTTTAAATACAAAATCTTTGAAATTTATTCTCTTGAAAATTTGGGTACTGACAGAATGTCAGTGGAAAAGGACAAGCATTTCATTGTAAAGTATCTTAGGTTCCATTTCTCCCCAGTCTAAAGTCATTACAGAGAGACTAACATTTGATCATTTAAAAGCTAGCTTTATTTTTTAAAGTGTTTCATTCAGTTTTCAGATTTTGGTAATATTTATAACTCGCTGATATTTCATAAAATATTTCAGGATAACTCTCCTTTTATCGTAGGAGATAAAAGCGAAATCAGAAGACATCATCTGGCGAAATCAGAAGACAAGATGAAGACAATTGGTTTCATAAGTTTAGATTTTGTATTATTGGTAAAAAAATTATAAGACAGCAAGACTTATGACGGTATGCTTAGAAAACCTATTTGTTTAGTTCAAGGCATTGTACTTTGCTTCAGCATAAGACATGATATCGTGTCCAACTTTTATCATTATTATAATTATAATTATTATTCAAGAGAAAGAATGTAATAAATTTATTGGTAAACGTACTGAAAACACTAAAATTTTTTTTAAATGATCTATAGCAGAGGTTTTAGTTGTGGCTATCCTGATAAGAAAACGCACCAATGAGTTTCAAGGAATGTGTTCAAATTTATATTGAGAAATAACACATACTAAAGCTGAATTTTTTTTAATTTTTGAAGCTAGAATTTAAAATTTTTGAAGCTGAAAATAAAATTTTTTAAATTTTGAAGCTCGAAGCATCTCTAGAATTTGCTAAATTACACTACTACCTAGTTAAACTAAGGTATTGCTGTTTAATTGATAATAGTTAAATAAACTCATTCGTTTAATTAATTCAGATAATGCAAAATTTAATTAATAAGAGTATTTTGAAAATACAGCATTTTTTTATTTTTATTCTAATCCAAAAATTATCAAGACTACCGAGAAATCGCATTTTGACTGCATTCAGTTTCTTTGTTTCCTTAGTTCTAAAGCAGTTTGGGTGTTGTAAAAGACAGTGCAAGTTCGTCAGATATCTGCAGTGTCATAGTAAATTTGCCTGTCTAATAAAGAAAAGATTTAGTCATTTGTAAAAAATTAAAACTAAAAATATAGACTCACTGTTGAAAGAAATATGACTGAACTTCCTTTTTTACGAACTTTCAAATCAGAACTAAATAGCGGTGGTGGTAGCAGTAGGAACTGAATGGATTTCATTACAGCAGCAAAAAAACAGAAATTACAGGTTTTCAATTCCTTTTATTCGTTCTACCTCCCATTTAAAAGAAGGCGGGTCGTTGAACGGAGGTGCGCGTCAGTTGGCAATTGAAGAGGTATCATCTGTCACTCTTCAAATAATTCAGTACTGTTTGTAAGCACGATTGTAAATTATTTATTGTTATTAGACAAAATATCTATTGAGAAAATGGCAACAGCTAATTTCTGGATGTCATTTACGAATACATTACTTGTAAGTTATTAAGATTTATCTTTAAATAAATGTTTGCCTTTTGCAACCATTTTGCGAGTAATTAATTTAACTACAAAAGGAAGTTAACATAAATCAGAAGCGGGATTATTCTGAAACCTAAGCCTAAAGCTACAAGAATTTGCTATACGTAAATAAATTGAAACGAATTTGAATTTCAAGGTATGTGCATTGATTGATGTAACATATTTATTATAGAATTTAATTTTGTTATTTTTTTATCATTTTGGAAAGAGAGTTTATTTTTTTTTCCATTTCTTTAAATTTTGAAATATATTTAGAACGTCAAACAAACTTATAAAATACCAATAACTGTGTTCTACTAAGTTGTCTAATTAGAAGTTAATAATAATAGCATATATATATAATTTGCATTTTAATGAGTACGAAAATGTTTATTTTCGGTAAGGCAAAGAAATGCGATTTAAGAATATTAGCTGAAGAATTGGGAGAAGGTGTAAATGAGAGTCATAAAATGAGCGATTTGAAAAAGATAATTTTGGCTAGCAAAGAATACGATGAAGAATGCGCCAAAGAATGGTTAAACATTATAATAAATGAAAGAAAAGAAAAGAAGAAATTGAAGAACGAAAACGTCAAGATGAAGAACGTAGGCGAAAAGAAGAATATGAGGAACGAAAACGAAAGTGTGAAATGGAATTTGAACTGCAAAAACTACGTATTGAAGCAGAAAGTAGATCTACAAATTCTGACACCAATGAAAATGCTAGTGGACGCACATGAATCCAAAGTTAGAGCTTCATCGTTTGATGCAAAAATTTAAACCTGACAAGAATGATATCAGTTTATATTTAATCATGTTTGAACGTTTGGCTAAACAAGTTGAAATACCAGAAAATACATGGGTTACTCATTTGTTTGGCTTATTGCCGTATGATATTGCTCAGTTAATCGCCAGAGAAACCGATGAGATTGCAAACGATTATAAAGAAGTTAAAAGGATCTTATTAAAACGGTACAAGATGACACCTGAAAAATTTCGCCAAAAATTTTTTACGCACAATAAGAGTGTAGGAAACGCATGGAAGAATTTTGCGTATGAGTTAAGAAATTTTTTTAATGAATGGATAAGCGGAATTAAAGTAGATACTTTTGAGAAATTTAGCGACCTTATTGTAGCAGATCAGATAAAACGTAAAGTGTCTCCAGAAGTAAAAGATCATTTTATTGACATATGGTCTGAGTTGATTTCACCAATTGATTTAGTTGAAAAACTAGATGATTATAATACCTTGAAGTCAACTTTCAACAATAAACAACCGCGTAAAGAAGGGTCTTACGACGAACGAAACTGCTTTAAAGATGGCCCTGTTGCTACAATCAACGAAAAGAAAAAACTCTACGGTATCACACACAATGAAAAAGGTGAACCAAAATGCTTCAGCTGTAATAATTTTGGACACATCTCAAGGGACTGTCCGCTGCCCAGACCAGTAGTAACATGCCGAAAATGTAATAAAACAGGTCATAAAGCTAAAAATTGTGTTACTAAAGCTGAAAATAATCATTCAAATGATAAAAATTATTCTGTTGAGCAAGTTGGCGAAAATTTAGGAGAGCAATTCATATTTGAAGAAAGCAAAACTGAATAATTCTGAAGAAGTACAGGCTATAATTGATACGGGAAGTTCCTTTTGTCTCTTAAGGACTTCAGTTGCTCAGAAACTCAAAGTGAAACCAGAACCTGCTTTGAATGAACTGTACAGTTTTGGAAATCAAAGGGTGCCTGCAGTGACCTCTATAGGAATGATTAAAGCCGATATAGAAGTTGATAATGTAAAAGGCCAAGGCATAAATATATACCTTGTACCTGATAATGCACAGCCAGTTGATCTAATCATCGGACGGACATGGCTTGATCTACCTCACATCGCTTATGTCAGAATAGGAAAAAGATTTCACTTCGCGTATAGGGAAGATGAACTATTTAGTAACCTCCAAATTGATGAAAAAATAAATCGAGTCTGCCTTAAAGCTCTTGAGGAAAATGAATTAGAGAAAAATAGTCCTTATGCTGCAAATAGAAATCGACACTGTGGCCAACTGTTCTCTAAACATCACTTCATGCCAAAGCAAAGACAGAATGTCGAAAGTGATTCTGTCTTTAGTCAGAGCCAAGAGAATGTAGATGATAAGCAGCAAATACAACCTCAAAGGCCCGTACGAAGGCAATTATGTTATCCTTACTTCAGGCAATATTGTGGTTATCTATCTATAGCACTTCCACGAAACGTTGGACGTGATGGAAGAGAAGATGAACAAAAGGAAAGAAAAACGGAGAAAGAGTTTCAGGAGGTGGAAGAGACGATCACTGGAATCCTAGACTATTTTATCAAAGGTGCTTTAATAAGCAAAATCCACTACTATCATAGGAATGACACTGAATGCAGTCAAAGTAGAATGGAAGGAGAAGCAACTAGTAAATATACTGAAGCAAATGACGACGAAAAACAGCAGCCACGCGGTCAAGGAGCTAGATCTTGTCCACACTTTTGACTGTAAGATCAATCCCCATTTTTGATCTGTATCCCCAATGGGTTGTCGAAAGCCCCACCAAGCTGATTCACGTGCTAAAAACAGATCTTCGGAGGTCCATCATTTCCAGAAATACAGAAGATTGATGATAATGACGAGGATTGATGACGAACTTAAAAGGCCCAAGCGAACAGTGCGCAAACCATTGCGCTATAGAGACTTTGTATAGGACTTATAGAATTTTTTTTAAATTATATTTGATTTGATTTTTTTTCCTACCTACTTATTATATTTTGTTGTTGTTTATTTGTTACTTTAATGTATGACAAGATTTGGTTCAATTGAGGACAATTGAAAAGTCAGGATGGTCGAATGTAAGGACGATTGTAAATTATTTATTGTTATTAGACAAAATATCTATTGAGAAATTGGCAACAGCTAATTTCTGGATGTCGTTCTATTTTATAATTTTAAAAAATATGCATTGAGATGATGTACGCTTGAATTGTTAATGGTACGATGCAGTAAGTACGTTTGTTATGTTATATACGTTTACGAATACGTTACGTGTAAGTTATTAAGATTTATCTTTAAATAAATGTTTGTCTTTTACAACCTTTTTGCGAGTGATTAATTTAACTACAAAAGGAAGTTAACATGTTTGAGCCACTTGAGTTTTCGTGAGCGATTTTTCCCTTTCAGTTCAATTACAAAATCTCATCGACAGATTTCACTGCGAAATCTGATGAGTAAATTCGACGCAAAAGGATATGTTATACTGAAAATATAATGCATGTGTATCATTACATACATTAATGTTTTAATGTCTTACAATATTTGATACAGATCTATCCACATTCTACATAAATATTTGGCAAATAATACTTTGTAATTGCTAGTAATTATGAAATTATTCCCAAAATTTGAAGAAAAAAGTTTTCATCAATTTTGTATCATCTTTCTTTATGATCATGAGAAATTTGTTCAGAACGGCTATGAAAAGCCGTTCTTTAAAAACAATTATTAAAACGAAGGAATTTTATTTAATGCGATTAGAAGCAATACAATGCTTCCAGGCAAACAGTGTTATCGAAGTATAAATTTATTTTCTGTAAACAGTTATCGAATCTGAACATCACTCACATCTGAAGAAGCAAGTAACAACAAATTTTAGCAAAATTCACAAAATTGGCATTCTACTTTTCCTATTGTTTCTAGCATTTTTAATTTAAGCATTTCCTCCTAACACTAGCCAGTATTTGAGCAACAGATTTATTCCTTTACTATCCAATAATTCTTTCAATATGTAGAGTTCCTCACTTTGTAATGCTGAGTTACTGTTGAACGTGAAGAATCTTAAAAACTGATAAGCGAATAATCGCTTGAGTTCGTGTGACAGGAAACAAGATAGAAGGGTAAACTAGCCCTTTATTATTTCCACTACAGTTTAACAAACTCTGTCTTGGAGTGTACAATAAAGCCGACACTTGGGCTTTGAACTTAAGAGACTCTAACATTAGTTCCAACGAACTCGCAGTTAAGATTACGTCTTACATTTAAGTTGTGACACTTACCTTAAAATTTTACGTAAATCTCTGGTCTGAGAGAAAAACCTCAAGTCCCTGGTCTAAATTCTAACCGAGTATTATGACAAGATAAGGAAAATGGATGATTGTAATTAAAATAATTCTCTTCAAACCTATGTTAGAGTCCATTCTAGTTGGCGTATTTCTTTGAAACCTGGTATAAACATTATATGGAACATGGGGAAAAGCGAACTGCAGATATATACAGTATGTAGGATTAATAAAGATAATACAGTATGTAGCATTATCCATTGTGTAATTCTCAGTTGAACATAACATAACAATAGGGGCGCTTCCTTCTTATGAAAAGAAGGAAAGGAGTTTAGGCAAAATTGTCCATTACTCTTCCGCCATTTTATCATTTAAATCAAGGGATTTAAATGGTAACTCCCGTAAAAGGTAAGTAATAAATAGATAAGATCTCAAACTGACACCAAATCTATAGTATCAGCAAAAGATCCCATCTCTAAGTTCAAGGTGTCGGCTGGATCGTGAAAACTTCCCTATTGGATGGAAAACCGATTCAATCCCTCCCAAACCACCAAACGCAAATTCTTGACCAAACAAGAGTGCAATGGAGAGTCAAATAAATAAAGAGGGCAGAGGTGCATTCTCAAGCCAAATGGCCAGGTAGTGTATAAAGATTTGATATCTGTTTTCAAATTATATTCCAAAACACAGCTATGAGAGGGAAATCCCTGCATAGTTTCTTTTCAAAAAAAAAAAAAAAAAAAAAAAAAGAACTCATAGGGCGTCTCAATGCTTGTTTCTTGTGGTTTCATATTCACCTTACCTGTAGGTGTTTAGTATACATCAGAAACCCTATTATGCCAGAGAGCCCTTTGCATAAAAGGGCTTGATCAAAGGTAATGTAGGGAAACCCAAGGAATTTTTTTCTAGGGACAGAGAACACCGGACATCGTCCCAGAAAGTGAAAAGGTGTTTCCTCTTCTTCTCCACAAGCTGGGCAGAGAGGAGATTCAACAAGACCACATTTGTGGAGATGCTTAGCTAGATAAGCATGTCCAGTAACAATTTGAATTACCTGGCGTAAGTTAGTTCTACTGAGGTGTATGAGTTTACCTGAAAAGTTAAGTGTACTGAGCACCAATTTAGAATGAGCACAGTCTGGTAGTTTAGACCATATATCATCATGTTTTGTTCTTTATCCAGCTTCTTACTTCTTTTTTAACCGTTTGATATGAAACTGGGTAAAATGGTTCTGGGCCAGACATGGGGTAGTTGCGAAGCATCTTTAGCTACTTTATCAGCTAATTCATTTCCAGCAAAATCACAATGACCTGGGACCCAAAACTAAACTAATGGTATTATGGGCCTGAGCCAGAGAATCGAGATCTTGAGTACAGTTCAAAACACAGTTTTGTAACTTGACACGATTAGCCAGGGCAAGGATGGCTGATTCTGGCTGTCAGAGAGAATATATATATACTTATCAACCATGTATTTTTAGCTAAGAGCTCCCTGGCGACCATATTGATTGCCAGAACCTCGGCTTGGAAAACAGTTGTTAGTTTACCAAGGTATAGATGAAATCTAATGAAATCTTCTTCAGATCCCTTGGTTCTTATAATAAATAGCTCCAGCTCCAGTGAAGTTGGATTTTGATCCATCTGTGTAACATTTAATTTTACAACAGGATTTCCAACAGGATTTAATTGATCCTGTTGGAATTAGGTCAATTAGAGATTCTATCTCATTTCTTTTTGGTATATGAGTTGAGAATAGTTTATATGGAACTATTGTTTTAGTAATTGCATCTTTGGGCATATAGATTATAGGGATCTCATTGCCCGAGTCCAGACATATGTCAATGTGGCTTTTCAGGTGGCTTTTATGACCAAAACCTGTCCTTTGGCACCATGTGCCATTTTTATTAAATCTATACATGGCTTTAACCGCTTCTCCGCTCAAGAATAATTTCAAGGGTGGAATTTGCAGTAAAAATTCTAATGCAGCAGTAGGGGTACTATTTAAAGCCCCACTAATACTTAGGCAAGCAAGTCTTTGCACCTTTTGTAAAATGTTTAAATACGTGCTTTTGTTAATAACATTAATTCAGACCACGCATCCGTAAGAAAGCATTGGCCGGACTATGGCAGTATAAATCCATAGAATAGATTTTGGGTTAAGGCCCCATTGTTTACCAACGATTCGCCTACAAAGTACTAGAACATTTGTGGCCGTTTGTGCCTTTTCTTTTATATGGGTGATCCATGTAAGTTTACTATCCAGGTAATATCCTAGGTATTTAACGCATTCCTTACGCCTAATAATCTGGTAACCCAGATATAAATCTGCCAGTTTCCATTTCCTTCTCCACGTGAAAACTATGATCTCAGATTTTTCAGCAGAGAAAGAAAGGCCATTTGTATCACCCCAGTGTGAAACTTTATTTAAGATCTGCCGAGCTTGATTATGTAGGGTTCCGATATCGAAACCCTGTAATAACACAATAAGGTCATCTGCATAAGCCTGTGACATGCCAGGTTCCTCTCGTAGAAGTACTAAGAGTGAGTCGAATACCGGGTTCCACAGGAACGGAGAAAGAATACCACCCTGCGGACACCCTTTAGTAATATCTCTCTTTACTTCATAGTCAGCGAGACTAACACAGATATTCCTGTTTTTAATCATGAAGATGACCCATCTAGTTATCATAGGGTGAATATGACTTCCAGTAAGGGCCTTATGTATTTTCTCGAAACCGATGTTATCAAAGGCTCCTACAATATCCAGTAGAATCCCAATGGCAAAGTGTCCGTCTATAATTGTTTTTTCTATTCTCCAAACGAGTTGGTGTAAGGCCGACTCAGTGGAGAAGCCAGGCCTAAAACCGTGCTGGTCTAAGCCAAAGGTATGTTTCAGATTATTATCTGACTGGAGGTACCAGAAAATCAATCGCTCCAACAGCTTAAGCTGGAAGGATGTTAGCGTGATCATTCTAAAAGAGTTTGGTTTCTCATATGTATCTTTTCCTCGTTTAGGAAGAAACACACCTCGTGAAGTTCTCCAAACCTTAGGAACATATCCTAAAATCAAACTGGACTCGAATATGTCCACGAGAATGTGACCAAAAATATCCCAGCCTTTCTGAAGCAGAATTGGGTAAATGCCATCGTTCCCTGGAGATTTAAAGGGAAGAAATACATCAAGAGCCGCTTTAGCCTTTTCAAAATTCACAATTGTCTTAGCAAAATCCAAATCTAATGGATTATGAAGTAGTTCCAATGGATTTTCCTGGGGGTCGGAGGTGACACTTTTGTCCCCCAGATGAAAATTCAACATGGTCGAAAGTGTATCCAAAGGGTTTATAGTATAACTGCCATCAGGTCGCATAACCGATGAGAGTTGAGACTCCTGAGATCTTTTAAGAATCTTATATACTCTGGGAGTCTCATGGTAGGACAGAATATC